GGGGGCGGGGAGCAGCCACTGCACTCCAGTCTGGGCGACCGAGTGAGCCCTCCAACCTGGGGCTCAAAAAAAAAAAAAGAACGTACACCTTCTCAGAAATGCCCTCTCAAAGCAGCTCAGGCAGTGTGAATTCTCTGACTGAAACAGAAATCCAAAACCTCCACACTCCCGAGGCCTCGCGGAGACCTTGGTGTGATCAGCGCCCCTCTCCTCTCAGGGAGGATGCACATGGGAAGACGGGGACACGCAGACTGGGGGACGCTGCACAGAGGTCAGACACAGCGGCCCGGCAGGGTGGGAGGGGCCCCGAGCAGGAGAGCGGCGGGTCTTTATCCTTCTCCATACTCCACAGCAGCCAGGGTGCGCACACAGGAGACAGACAGCTGGGGAGAGAAACGGAGAAGAGGGCGGTGAGCACGGAGGCACAGCCCGCACGGAGGCCGGCCACGGCTAGGACAGCCCCCGCCCCACACCCAGTCTGTGCCTGGCTCTGGGTGGAGAGCACGCCGGCATCCACATCTGCGGGAAACGGGCCCCGAGGGCCAGCGGGCCCCAGATGCCTCCTCAGAAAGGCCTGCCGGCCGGCCTCCTTGAAAATCACCCCAACCACCCCCAGGATGGAGGGCTCGGCTCCTCAGCCCTCTCCCAAACTGCTGTGGCTAAGGTCCCACCCACTCCCCTAGAACACACACACACACACACACACACACACACACACACGGCCAAGCAGCATCCGGCTGGCTAAGGTCCCACCCACTCCCCTAGAACACACACACACACACACACACACACACACACACACACACACACACACACACACACACACACACACACACACGGCCAAGCAGCATCCGGCTGGCTCGGGTCACGGACGGCGGCCCCTGGTCCCCAGCCTCCCCGGGTCGGAGCGGGCGATGGGCTTTCTGCCTCTGCCCTCCCCCGCCTCCCCAGGAAAGAGGCTTCCAGAGCTGCCAGTCAGCCGTAAAAGAAGCAACCCTTCCGCCGGGCTCAGTGTTTTACTGGAGGATCCTGTCTCCGTGGCAACCAAGCCCAGGCAGCCTCAGCAGTGATCTGCTATCTGACAAGGGGAACAGGGGAAGGCAGCTCTGGGAACCCGGAGTGCAGGCCGGCGGGGCCCACGTGCATCAAAGGGGAGATCTCTTCGGCTTGGGGACGAGAGACCTGGCGATTTCCCCCAGTGACGCTCCCTGGGACTCAGTGTCCCCCTCCACATGTCACAGGCGGGCAAAAGCAGATGCCGTGCCAGAGCCGCCTTGCCCCATTCTCCGGATCCTTCCTCTTTCCCTCCCACTTCCGGCTTCTCCAGGCCCCGCTGGCTCAGGCTCACTGCCGAGCCCTGTGGAGGGCACCCTGTGCCGAAGAGGCGGGTGGGCCCTTACTGCTCAGAGACAACCTGGACAGAGAGCAACGGAACCAGCGAAGCCCAGTTTAAACCGGTTTTGGGCTGGATCAGTGGTTCTCAACCAGAGCAACGCTGACTCCCCCCAGGGTACACTGGGCCATGTCGGGAGGCATCCTTGACTGTCAGGACTGGGGCGGGAGGTGGGCTGGGAGAGGAACAGGAGGTGCTGGCATGTGGTGGGTAGAGGCAATGCACAAGAACCCCCTGCCGCCGCCACCAAAGCATTATCGGGCCCAAAATGTCAGCAGAGCCACAATCGTAAGAGCTCAGGCACTGCATTTCTTGAAGTGATTGCTTAAAATCATAGGAAATTGGCCATCCATCATGAAAGGTGGCCTATTTGGGGAAAGAATCTTCCTAAAATAAAAAGTGTTGGAGAATCTTTACAAAGATCCCACCCACTGGGATGTGAAAGAAACTGTGGCATCCCAGGCCCTGTCATGTGGATTAAGGTTCAAATCCAAAGTTGACTGTAGGATTTGGAGCTGGGGCCACAGTCTGCCCAGGGTCAAGGAACTGGCAGAAACTGTGAGCAAAAACCCCATCTGGGCAACCCTGAGTGGAGGGGTTCATAGAGGTCATCGGCTGTTCAAAGAGGGAAGCGACTCAGAGAAACGTGACGCCCAGGGATCCAGGCCCCACCTGCTCTGCCCACGCCACATCCCCGGTCACCCTGCAGTAGTCGTCTCTTCAGCCCCAGGCCCCCAGCCACGGCCTCCCGTCCCCTGACCCGAGTCCTCCTCTCCTTGGCAGTTTCAGTGGGGGTATCATTGCCCCAACAGACAAGAACAGGCGTGCAGGCCCCTTCCCAGGCTCAGGACCTGACTTCAGCCCCACCCAAAGCATGCAGTGGAGACGTACCTAGTTTACCTGAACTTCATTCGGGTTGGTCACACGGTCCAGGCCATAGTCCAGCACATTGTCCACTCCTGGCTGAAGGGAGTACAAACAGCACAAGGGTCACTGCGGGGAAAGTCTCCAGTGTCTGGGTGACTTTGGGTCTTGTCCAAGAGGTTGTGAGATTGAGCTCTGAAGGGCTTGTGGCCGAGCCCACCGGGCGCTATGAGGGCGGGTGAGCCCCCGGGGGAGCTGGCGCGTTCCGTGGGGGCTGTGCTGCCACCAGAGCATCCTCAGCACCTAACATACTGAGAAGGAAAGCAGGATGGTGGGAAGAAAGGGGGGACGAACGGCGGATGAAGGGGTAGACACGTGAACAGGTGGGCGCCTGGCATTCCCGGCACCACGGCGGGATGGAGGGCGGGAGGGACGGGCGAGCCGGCGGGCGGATGCCCTCCTCAGCACCACGGTGGGATGGAAGGACGGGCGAAGGGATGGACAGGCGGACAGGCGGACGGGCAAATAACCCTGAAGCTGAAAAGGGTTCACTGGGACGCAGACGTGGGACTCCTGACTCCCCCCAGTGCTCCTACCCCACCCTGCAGTTTCTTTCTTGGCTGGGTGGGAAAAAAGAAGCAACTGCTTCGGGAGAGTGCAGGCTGCAGTCAGGCACTGCTGGGCCCCGATCCTGGTTCTGCGGAGTCCCGGCTGTGCGGGAGATCTTGGAAAACACTCCTCCTCTGCACTTGCTAAGCCCTCTGAGAAACAGGGACGACGCCTCCCACATGGCAGGGTCATGTGAAGATGCCACAAGGCAGGGGGTGATGCTCTCAACAGAGGTAGCCCTTACTGAGCGAGGGATTGCATTCATTTTAAGACTGTGTGCGCAGACGGTGGCCCAAAGCTGCTCCGGCAATCTTTGTCACATCTCTTTTCCAGCAGGTAAGCCAACTGTCCGGAGAATCTTATGGGTCTCTTGACTCCTTGAGGCCAGCCGTTGGGGGCTTTCCCTCCCCTCTGCAGGTGGGACCCCAGGTACCCACCAAGTGCTCAGCTCACATGATGAGCCAGGCTGACTCCACCACAGCAGAGTTGGGGAGAAATGGGCTTTTCTCCTATCAGATTCAGCCTCGTCAATAGGGTCAGACCCGTTTTTAGCTCAGAGGCAGGTTGCCAGATAAAATACAGGACCTCCAACTCATTTCAGATAAACAGCCAGTGAGGTATGTCATTACTTTTATACTTACTGCATGGTTATACCAAAATATATAAAATTTAGTAGAAAACATATTTCATGCAAAAATAATTTGTTGCTTATCCAAAACTCGAATTTAACCAGACACCTTGTCTTTCACTTGCTGAATCTAGCCACCCAGCTCAGTGGGCTACCACGGGGCAGGCACCTGGATCCACAGCCAGGCAGCGAAGCGAGAAAGGAAGGCACTAGAAAGCGAGAGGGAGAGGCGCAGGGAGAGGGCGGCCATGCTTATCCTAGATGTGGCAAGCGGACCTCCAGTCCTGGATGTCTGGGGGGCACATCCCATGGCTAGACGCTGTGGCAGCCCGGAGATCCCTGGTGAGGTACCGAGGTATCCCCAGCAGGCGTAGCGAGGTCCTTCCCAACTTGTGGGCGAGGTAGCCATCAATCACAGATGACAAATTACAGTTGGGACAGGTGCCTTGAAGGGACAACATGAGGGCCAAGCCAGCCTTCCATGGGGTCTGACCTCACATGGGGAGGGGCCCTCAGAGTCCGTGCCTCGGCCTAAGGCGGGTTCTAGGCATCCCCACCCATCTGGTATGAAGAAATCCCCCAGGAAAACTGTAGAGACTTCATATACACACGCTCTGGCACTTCCGCACCCTCTCACTCCCTGCACATGCTCGCACTCACATACGTGCGTGCCCCGACACCTCCCAGCTGGCTGCCGTCCACCTCACGGTGCCATCTGCTCCAGTGCTGAACGCACTGTCCAGCCCTTGCCCTGAACTTGCCCCGTGCTCTCATGTCAGTGTTGCTAGCTTGGCGCTCAACAGTGTACCTGCATGTCCCAGACTGGCACCGGTTCAGACCAGACGGCCTTGAACTCTCAGGTCTGTAGCCCTCCATCAGGCTCCATTCTCCTGGCCTGTCCAGCTCCACTGCCCCCTCCCTGATTCTCTTTGCCAGTCCTACGAACAGCCAGAGGGGCCCCATCTCCTCTTGGCACCTCTGCAGGCAGCTGCCCAGTAGGCCTCGGCTGTCCCCGATCCCGCTGTGGCCCGTCCAGTGCCCTGCCTTCGGAACTCCCCAGAGAGCTGCCTCCCTGCCTCTGAAGCGCCTTTCCCTCTTTCGCTTCTTCATTCATGCAGCAGGAAGTGTAAGGTCTCTGATCTACCGTGATGGTCACCAGAGCGGCTGCTGACGCAGTTTCTGGCACAAGAAGCGGGGCTGGCATGAAGATAACCAGGGCCGGCTGTCAGCACACAGGAAGCAGGGGCAGCCGACTCAGCCCTGTGGTGTGCTGCCAGAAGGCAAGGAGGCACGCAAACGCCTTCTGCACGGTGCCACGCCCGAAGCCCTCGGGCGTCCCTGCTTCAGCTGGGAGCTTTGAATGCCAGGGTGGGATGTCCCAGTAACAGCTCCTAGGCGTAAGCCAGAGAGGCTGCTTGCTCCACGCCTTGACATTTGGGTCAGGAAAGGAGATTTGGTACGCATAACGACGGCTCTGCATGGGGGCCAGCAGGGGTGCTGACAGACACTTTGTGATAACACGCTACCATGTCCCTCTGTCTCTCCTTTCACTCTCCTCCCTCAAGTATCAGACTCTTTTGAGGCCCGGGGCAGAAATTACAGGTCAAACACGAACTCATTGTAAAGACAAAACAAAACATGGGGAAGGGAGCGATCAGGCTGCAGGGGTGCGACTGTAGGTGAAAGGTGAGATTCTGGCCTGAATGTCACCCTCCCTGGAGTGGTGTTCCCTGAGCCCCCACCTGACCTGGGGCCTTGCCTCCCACCCGCCACAAGGGCATCTGCAAGTGATTCGTTCGCCGTGTGGGAGTTTCAGTGTGGGTCCCTGCACTGGAGGCACTAAGTTCCTGGCGGTCACAGGCCACGTCCACCTTGGCTCGTAACTGGAATATCCCCACTGCTTCCTGAGAGCCCGGCACAGGGTGAGCATTCACAAAATATGTTACGTTTTTTAAAAAGTAGACCAGAGGGTATGGAGCATTCCATCCTGACTTTATGATATAACACCATATGTCGGGCCATTCTCCTGAGTCAGTGTGTGGCCTCTGAAAAGCTACTAACACCACAGCTGCCCCGTGTTCCATCACGTTGGATTCGTGGTGCCTTTCCCCGCTGCTGGACATTCAGCCCAACTTCCACAGGAAATGGAGGGCGGACCTGTCCTTCTTTGGCAAGTGTCTGCGTGTATGGTTGAAACGAGGGTCATTTTGCTTGATGTGCAGACGAGGGGCCACTTGACTCAGAGGACATGCCACCACACAGCCTCGGACCACATCCCCGGGAGGCAGAGTCACCGCCAAGATGCAGGGAGGGCTCCAAAATGCCTCTTGAGAGGAACTGTTTCCCCCTTGGTTCGTTTACAAAACCAACTGTCATCTGCATCTTGCTCGGCTCTGAACCTTGTTCCCCTTGGGTCAAGACAGGAAAGGAGCGTCATTCCCCCTCATTAGGGACGGGAGTTCGGGTCAGATCCTCAGCGGCCACCTGACATCCGTCTGGGCCTCTGCCGGTGAGGACGCCCTGCCACAGCCCCGCCGTCTCTCCTTCCTCCCTCGCCGAGTCAGCTCCCCCTCCCTGGCTGTGCCCCTTCCACCCTCGGTCTTGGCTCTGGGGGCTGGCCGCTTGCCTGTGTTACAGCAATGTGGACTTCGAGCTGAGTGGGAGCACCTGTGGGTGCTCCTGGCTTAACAGCAGCACCTGGGGCTTCGTATCAGACAGGTGTGGCTTCTCCTTCCAGCACGGAGCAGCCTTGGGAGCCTCTCGGAGTCTCGGCTTCCCCATCTGAGTGATGGGGCTGGTGATGCCCACCGCCCCGTGGCAGGAATGTCAGGTGTGCCAGCAGCCCGTCACAGACGCCCCACAGAGTTCCGTGACTCTTCGCTGTGGCTCCACGCCCAGCACCCAGCCCAGCGGACCAGGGCCCGGGGAAGGAGGCCCAGAGCGAGGCCCAGAGGAAGGGACAAGCGAGTGAGCGGGCTCAGTGACAGCAGGTATCCGTCACTCTGCAGCAGCGGGTGAGTCTGACACGGGGCGGCCGCACGACGCACCACAGAGGCCGGCGCTCCGCTTGCTGGGCTGGCTTTCTTCCCACTGAGCTGACAGTTTGTCTGAGTCTCCTGGAGACAGTCTGGCAGTCTGCAAGTCTGCGAGCTCCTGGGCTTCCGGGCTTCTCACACAGATTGCTCAGTTTTCGGCTGAGAGGCTCTTCGGCCAGGACGCCTTCTGCCCGGCTCAGCCAGCAAGAGCTGGGAGTGTCTCGGAAAGCGGGGGAGGCAGGGCCCTAGGTGCTCCTGCCTGTCTCGGATGACTGGTCTGCCCTTGACTTAGGGAGCAGCCAGGAGAAAGGTTAGACATGGGGAGCAGGCTTGTGCTCTGGGAGCTACAGAACAGACTGGATTCCTCAGCCTCATCCGGAACTCATGCTATAAAAGCTGGACCACCATGTGTGGACCCAGGCATTGTATTTCTGAGAGCAGCAGTGACCCAGGAAATGTTCTGAAGACCCAGAACCCAAGAACTGAGCTGCTTGCGGACGCCACGTGGCAGTGTCTTGAGAGGCAGACAAGCACGGGGCATGCAGTCAGCAGCAAGCGGGTGCAGAGCCTCTGGCACTCACTAGCTGGGCGGCTTGGAGCAAATCAGCAACATCTCTGACCTCCGCTTGCTTGTCAGGAGGATGGGCACAAGAACACTGCCTTCCACACGGGACTGAAGAGACCCCGAGAGGCTGAAGGCAGAATGCTCCACACAATTGCCCAGACACCGAGTTCCCGGTTCAGGTCTGCTCGATGCCGGCGGGGATGACGAAGAGGACAGTCACCATGGAAGTGGGGGCGAGAGTGGGGAAGGTGAGAGAGGTGGGGAGGTGGAGGAAGGAGGGGAGGTGACGGGGAGGGGAGACGACGGTCATGGTGGAGATGGGGTGGCAGACAAGGTGGCGGGGGCGGGGGTGGCCGGGGGGGTCAGAGACACGTGTGATACCCTGCTGAGAAGAGCCACTCAGCACTTACTGGGCAAAGGCCAGAGCTCATCCCAGGAGGACTGGGAGAACCAGCATGACCCGTTTGCATCTTCTTCCCTGCAGACATCCTGCTTACAGGGACAGAGGGGAGGAGGGGGACCCAGGCAAGACCATGTACACAGCCAGGCTGTGTCTCTTCGCCACAGATGCAGTCACACTGGCACGCCCACACCACAGGGTCCCAGCTATTCTCAGCTGGGCTCGGTGGCTCAGCCTGTAATCCCGCGCCTTGGGAGGCTGAGGTGAGTG